GCTGAGGTGCTGGGGGCTCAGTACTCGGTGACTGGTCAGAGCTGAGGTGCTGGGGGCTCAGTACTCGGTGATTGGTCAGGGCTGAGGTGCTGGGGACTCAGTACTCGGTGACTGGTCAGGGCTGAGGTGCTGGGGGCTCAGTAGGCAGTGATTACTGCTTAGTACTCGGGGTTTTGCAAGCTCAGGACTCAGTGCTGCGGGTGCTGGGTGCTCGGTGCGCCGTGACTGGTTAGGGCCGAGGGTGCTGGTACTTAGTATGCCGCGGTTAGTACCCCGGGCTCCGGGTGCTGGGCGCTCAGTGCCGGGCGGGTGCTGGGCTTGGTTAGTGCTCAGTGCTGGGTGCTCAGTGCTCAGTGCTGGGGCAGCGTTAGCGGCGTTGGGTGCTGAGTGCCGAGTACTCGGTACCTTCGGGGTCCGGCTCCTCGCTGCGGGGTCCCTCGCCGCCGCGGCCGGGGCCTGCAGGGGAGGGAGGGGCGGGTGCTGTGCTCGGTACTCCTCACAGCGGGGCGGGGGCCTTTGGGACAATGACGTCACCGGTGGGCGGGGCATCTGGGGCGATGACGTCATCAGTGGGCGGGGCATTTTGGGGCGATGATGTCATCAGTAGGCGGCCACAGCGATCAGAGTCAGGGAGGGACATTAGTGGGCGGGGCTATCAGTGGGCGATGACGTCATCGGTGGGCGGGGCAAAGTGGTCAGGCCAGGGCGGGGACGTCGGTGGGCGGGGATTTATGGTCGATGACGTCACCGGCGGGCGTGGCTTACCGCGTCCCCCGGCCGCATCCTCGAGGTCCGAGTTGGAGAAGTCGCCTGGGCGGGCGGAGGGGGCGGGAGGGCGATTTGCATAAATTAGAATACATTAGAATACGGAGGGGACACCGAGCAGGGTGGTGGGAGGCTCATTAGCATAAATTAGAATACATTAGCATATGACCGAGAAAACAGGAGATGGCAAAAAGGCTCATTAACATAAATTAGAATACATTAGCATAAGGCCGGGCCAAAGCAAACTGGAGTGAGTGGAGCTAATTTGCGTAGATTAGAATAAATTAGCATATGGGGAGGGGAAAAGTATTTAGGGTTTCGGTGATTTGCATAAATTAAAATCAATTAACATAAGCTGGGGCGAGCGCAAGGGAGTAGCTGGGTCTCATTAGCATAAATTAGGATGCGCTAGCACAAGGGGAGGAGCTGGGGTCCTGCTCATTAGCATAAATCAGACCACATTAACATAAGGGGAGAGGCAGCGGCAACGGAGGGGTTGGACGGTGGCTCATTAGCATAAATATGAATACATTACCATCGGGCAGAGCAAAAGGCCAGGAAGAAACGGATGCTCATTAGCATAAATCGGAACACATTAGCATAAGGACAGGGCGGGTGGAAGGGGACGGTGAGGCGGCTCATTTGCATAAATTAGAATGCCCCGCCCCGCAGGAAGCCTGGGAACCTCGCCAAGCTCATTAGCATACATGAGCATCGCCGCTCAGGCCGGGATCCGCCCTCCTCCCTGACTGACAGCTCTGCAGCAGGGTCGGGGCGGGGCCCCTGGGTGACTGACGGATGGGGCGGGGACCCTGGGTGAGTGACAGGCGAGGGCGGCCTTCCATCAGAGCTAATTAGCATACGGGGAGGCAAGGTTTCGTAAACCAGGCCTCATTAGCATGCGTGCGCAGAAATGCAAATCAATCAGCTCCAATTAGCATATTTCTGATGTCAGCGAGGCCTAGACCGGACCTGATTTGCATAAATTAACATAAGTGGGCGCCCATCAGAGCTCGTCAGCCTAATTGGGAATAGACGAGCGAGCATGAGGCCCAATTAGCATACACCGGGCCTCATTAGCATGCACGGCAGCCAATGCGAATACGTCAGCTCTAATTAGCATAGACCGGGCCTCATTAGCATACACGGGAGCCAATGCGAATACGTCAGCTCTAATTAGCATATTTCGGAGTCCAGGAGGCCAGACCGGACCTCATTTGCATACAGTCCGGCAGGCGGGCGTCCCGCGGAGCTCATTAGCATACGCGGAAGCAGAGAGGGCTGCGCCAGGCCCAATTAGCATATTCCTTAAAGGACGCGCATACATCAGGCCTCATTAGCATATGTGGAAAGAAATGCAAATAAACCGGATCCAATTTGCATATTTCTGAGTCAAGGAGCCTAGACCGGGACTCATTTGCATAAATTAAAATGAGCGGGCGCCCATCAGAGCTCGTTAGCCTAATTCTGAATCCAATTAGCATATCCCTTAATGAACGCGCGTAGACCGGGCCTCATTAGCATACAGCAGAGGACGCCAGCAGGGACGCGTTCTAATTACCATAAACCAGGCCTCATTAGCATAGAATGCAAATAAGTCAGGTCCAATTAGCATATTCCTGAGTCAATAAGCGAAGACCGGGCCTAATTTGCATACCAGCGGGAGGGAATCAGAGCTCATTTGCATGCATTAGGCCCAATTAGCGTATTGATTAATGAACACGCAAGGCCGGGCCTCATTAGCATAGATTAGCATGCGCCAGGCTGGCTGTATTTGCATGGACGCCCTCCCTCATTTGCATGAATTTGCATGCGGGACACAATATACTGGGCTGGGTCTGCATAAATTAAGCCTCATTTGCATAAATCTCCCTCATTAGCATAGAGTGGAATACAGTGGACCGTATATGTAAATCGGGCCTCATTTGCATACACGCTGCCCTCATTAGCATATCCCGCCCCGCCCCCCGGGCGTCCCCGTCCTGACCTCCCGCGGGCTTCGGGTCCGGCTTCTGGGGGTCGCGGGGTCGCGGGGGCGGCGGCCGGGGCGGCGGCGGCTGCGGGTCTGGGGGGGGGGGAGAGAGGAGGACTGAGTGTCAGCACCCGACAACAGTACCCAGGCAGAGGACCGAGTCCCAGCACCCGACACCAAACCCACCCACAGGACTGAGTCCCAGCACCCGGCACCAGTACCCACCCAGAGGACCGAGTCCCAGCACCCGACACCAAGAACCGTGCAGAGGACCGAGTCTCAGCACCCGGCACCAAGATCCAGAGAGAACTAAGTCCCAGCACCCACACAAATCCCTGAACCCCAAACCCATGCAAAGGACCAAGTCCCAGCACCCACCATCAAATGCATGCAGAAAACCGAGTCCCAGCACCCCGGGCAGCCCCGACCCCCCCAGGCCCCGGGGCCGCGCTCACCGTGTCCGCCCAGGGCGTCGCTCAGGTCCAGGTCGTCGCCGGCCCCGCCTCCTGGGGGACAGGAAGTGGGGGGAGGGACAGGAAGTGGGGGGAGGGACAGGAAGTGGGGGGAGTTGGACTCTTGCCAGTCCAGGGGGACAGGAAGTTGGGGGGCGGGACAGGAAGTGGGGGAGCCCGGCCCCCGCTGCCTCGGTTTCCCTCCCCGCCCCCCCCACTCACCCGAGGGCTTCTTCGGGGTCGGGAGCGGCTTCTTGGGGTCTGAGGGGGAAACGGGGAGAAAAAATTTTTAATTTTGATTTAAAATTTTAATTTAAATTTAAAATTTTAAATTTTTTAAATTAAAAATTTTAATTTTCTTTTTTGATTTCTGGAAAATTTAAAATTTTAAATTTCTTGTTCGGGAAAATTTCATTCTTCAATTTTTAAATTTTTTTTGTTTTGGTTTCTGGAAAAGTTTAAATTTTAAATTTCACGTTCAGGAAAGTTTCATTTTTCAATTTTTCAATTTTCTGGAAAATTTCGTCTTCATTTTTTTTTCAAGATTTAGTTTTGCGTCTTTAAAATATTTTGTTTTTTTTCCAGGAAGTTCAGGTTTTATTTTTTTTGGTTTTCCTGGGGAATCTAAGAATTTAATTTTTGATTTATAATTTTACAAAATTTAGTTTCTGACTTTTTTGATTTTTTTATCCCAGAAAATCCACGTTTATTTTTTTCTCCTTTTTTGGTTTTCCGGGAAACACTCGGCTCTGATTCCTCGATTTTTCCAGGAAATTTACTTTCAAGGTTCTTGGGGGTTTTTTTGGAAAAAATTAACTTTTTGCTAATTTTCCGGAGAATTCAGTTTCCGACGCTTTGATTTTGACTTTTATTTTTTTTGGCCAGAAAAACTCAGTTTTCGAATTCCCAGAGATTCCCTCGGCTCAAAAATCCGAATCACGGACGCGGACGGCGGAAAAAAACCACCGTGCCCGGGCGACGAGAAACGAAAAACGCGGAAAACAGGAAAAAAAAAGAAAATCCTGACCTTGGAAAAGAAATTTAAATTAAAAAAAATTTTTTTTTAATTTCTGAAGATTTAAAAAAAAAAAAAAAACTAAAGAAAAAAAAAATTGAATTTCTGGAATTAAAAATTAAATCCGGGGTTTTTTTTAACCCCGAAGTCGAGAAACGAAAAACGCGGAACACTGGAAAAAAAAAAATTCCTAATCTTGGGAAATAAGAAAAAAAGTTAAATGAAAACAATTTTTAAAAATTTGAAAAAAAATTTTAAAAATTTTGAAAAAAATTTCAAAAATTTTGAAAAATATTTTAAAAATCCGGGTCCGAGAGGGCGTCGGCGTGGGCGTCGCCCCGGGCCCTGTCCGTCCGTCCCCCCCCCCCCCCCCCCCCCCCCCCCCCCACCGTCGAGCGCGTCCGAGAGGTCGAAATCTGAAACGAGAAAAACGGAAAAAATTCGGTGAATTTCGGACCAAATTTCTGAATTTCGGGGTTGGGGGACTGAGCACAGCACCCGGGGAGGGGAGGACTGAGTCCCAAGCACCCACAGGGGGAGGACCGAGTCCCCAGCACCAACGGGAGGGGAGGACAGAGTCCCCAGCACCCACGGGGAGGACTGAGTCCCCAGCACCCACAGGAGGACCGAGTCCCCAGCACCCACGGGGAGGACCGAGTCCCCAGCACCGCACCCGCAGGGCGGAGATCGCTCTGCCTCGCTCATCTGCATAGGCCACGCCCCTGATTTGCATAAACCACGCCCCATCCCAAAAGTCTGCCCATGAGCCACACTGCCGCTAGTGCAGGCCACGCCCCTCATTTGCATAAGCCCAGTCCTCGTTTGCATAGGCCACGCCCCTAAACCAGCACTAAGCGACACCACTCACATAGGCCACGCCCCGGATCCCCAAAAGGCCGGGGCTGCTCCTCATTAGCATAAAACCCGCTCTCATTACCATAGGCCACGCCCCTCATTACATAGACTCCGCCCTCGTTCGCCCAGGCCACGCCCCCAATCCCCAATGGCTGGAGTCGCTCCTCATTAGCATAAGGTTCCCTCTCATTAGCATAGGCCACGCCCCCTCGCTAGCACCAGCCTGATTATCATTGGCAGAGGCCGCACCCCTCACCTCATTAGCATGGAACGGTCCTCATTTGCATAGGCACCGCCCCCGAGGCCCGAAAAGGCTGCGGCCGCCCCTCATTAGCATAAACCTCATTGCTGGCACAGGACACGCCCCTCATTAGCATATGGCTCGCCATTTGAGAAGCATAGGCCTCGCCCTCATTTGCATGGGCCACGCCCCCAAAAGCTTGGCCCTCATTAGCATAGACTGTTCTCTCTCATTAGCATAGACCCAGTCCTCATTAGCATGGACCCCGCCCCTGATGTACAAAAGCCTGGAGCCGCCCTCATTAGCATAAATCTCATTCCCATTAGCATAGACCACGCCCCCTCGGTTATATGATCCAATCCTCATTTGCATAGACCACGCCCCTCGGTTATACGGACCCAAGCCTCATCTGCATAAACCACGCCCCGATTTGCATAGACCACGCCCCCGAGCCCCCAAACAACCTGGAGCCGCCGACATTAGCCCAGGGCCCCATCCTCATTTGCATAGGCCACGCCCTTCATTTGCATAACCACCATCCTCGTATGCAGAGGCCACGCCCCCGCGTCCTCATTAGCATAGGCCCCGCCCCCGGCCTCTCGTCAGCGCAGGCCACGCCCCCCACGCGCTTGGTGCTCAGTCCCGGGTGCTCGGGGCTCAGTGCTTGGTGCTCAGTCCCGGGGGCTCAGTGCTGGGTGCTCAGTCCCGGGTGCTCGGGGCTCAGTCCCGGGTGCTCGGGGCTCAGTGCTCAGTCCCGGGTGCTCGGGGCTCAGTGCTCAGTCCCGGGTGCTCGGGGCTCAGTGCTGGGTGCTCAGTCCCGGGTGCTCGGGGCTCAGTGCT